ATAGTTAAACCAATTACTTAAAAGATCAAATTAAAAATAATTAAATACTAAAAATTAACAAATTCATTAAAAAGTAATTAATAAAATAATTATTAATTATTAAAAATTAATTTAAAATTAAAAAACTGATATTTTTATAACGGTTAATTAACATTAAAATTTGTTTAATGAATTGTTAATCAATATTAATTTACAATTAAAGTTAATAATAATCATTACAAAGTTTTATACAATTTTTTTTTCAAAATTAAATTGTTTTCATCATTATTATTTTCTTTTTTTTAAATGTCTTCTTTACCAATATCCAACTTCATTATACCAACTTCATTCAGAAAATAATAATGATGAAAACAATTTAATTTTGAAAAAAAAAATTGTATAAAACTTTGTAATGATTATTATTAACTTTAATTGTAAATTAATATTGATTAACAATTCATTAAACAAATTTTAATGTTAATTAACCGTTATAAAAATATCAGTTTTTTAATTTTAAATTAATTTCGAATAATTAATAATTAGTATTTTATTAATTATTCACACAAAGATGACACATTTTATTAATTATGATTCACACATTTTATTAATTATTCACACAATTATTTTATTAATTTAACACAAAGATGCACGAAATACAGACATAACAAATGATACAACAGTTTAAAAACGATAAGCTATTTTATAAAACGCAATGTTTTAAACGTGACAATTTTAAGAGAGGAGTTACAGCTCACCGCATCGACCAAGATACTCCGTTTAAATCTACAATTAAAAAATCAATCAGAGAAATACAAAATAATAAAAGATGCAAAAAATAATGAAACGAAGAATAGAAAAACATAGATGAAGAATAATTTAAGAATATTGATTATTAAGAAGATAAATTAATTAAATTATAGTACAGGATTTTACATATCCAGTCATGTGTTTTAGAATCACATTATGATAATTTCATAAAAATCGTATCGATTTAATAATCGATTCAATAAAAAAAAATTATTCACTCAGAATTGCATTTTTACAGCAGAAAAACAATGAAAGCAAACGATTTTATTTAAAAAAAGTAAACAAATGAATTCTGAATATAGTTTTGGATTCTTTAAGAATGGAATAAAAGATGCAAAAATAAAGAAACAAAGAACAGAAAAATATAAATGAAGAAGATATCCACTCATGAGTTTCAGAATCAATTTACGATAATTTCATGAAAATCGATTCGATTAAAAAAAAAACAGTCAAATAATCGATTCAATAAAAAAATTATTCATTCAGAATTGCATTCTAGACTTATATTCAACTCGACATTGATTCAAAAAATTTTAAATTTATACATTTTTTTTTGAAATTTTGAAGAAAATTGGAATTTTTTTTTAAATTTGAAAACATAAATGCAATTTATAAATACTGCTAATGAATGTATTAAGAAGTTTTAGTAATTATATTATGTTTTTTTCTTCATTTTGGATTTGGTAATATTATTAATTGTTTTAAAGATTTTACAGGTATTATTCAAACTAGCCATTAAAAAAAAAAAAAAAAAAGGACATTTAACAGAATATATTTTCTTCTCTTTTTTCAATTCGTTTTTAACGAGTTTATACTGATTTATTTGGCGACAATATTTTTGTCATCACACTTCTGATAATAATAATAATAAAAAAGTGACAACGACTCTATCATCCTTATTACTCCTCCGATTTGAATAAAACACGTGTTTGCCATTTTGTCGGCGCAGTCAAATTTACCGGCAGCGGAAGTTACACAGCAACGGATGTGACATTGCACTGATAAAAGTCAAGAACTTTTCTTTCTTGGGAGAGACCTTCCCAAGAAAGAACATTCGAACATGAAAAAAAAAAATCAAAATCTCTCTGAGCTGTCGTTAAGAATCACAAGGAAGTAAAATAAATGATTATGACCGATCTGTATAGAACATAAAAAAGAAAGAAAAAAAATTCCCCCTGCTTTGCTTGTTTTCGAAACGAGATAGCAGTGACTCATATCTGAACTGCTAATTGAAAACCATCGTTGTTTTGTTTTCGAGATCGGTGCCTTAATTGGCGCGTTATCGCTCTCACACGATCGCATTAAGCTTATTTTTAAACCGAGAATAATTTGACGGATGGCTATTTGGCAAAAGTATTAAAAAATTAAATCCAAAGTTATGGCTTTAATAACGACAGATTATACTCGATTACTTTTATATCTCTATTTGTTAACAACGCAGAGCTGTCAAATTTGAAGTCGTGAATGCCCATATAAAATTGAGTTTAAATATTTATTTTATTTAATTTTAGGAATTCTATTTTGACAAAAAAAATAATAATAATAATAATAAATAAATAAAAAAATAAATGTATAATGAAAATACATTTTTTCTTTTATTTAGTTGAACATACATGTCATAATAGAAGAGTTTTTTTGGTACTTACGTATTAACGGTACCTTGGCGACAGTTGCGCCAATAAAGAGCACACGCGCCAACCGCAGCTACAGATTTGGCGCCAATCTACACTTAAAATTTTTATTCCAAATAATAAAATATATATGAAACACTTCATTTAAAATCAAAACGCTTTCAAAATATTTTTATTCCAAATAATAAAGATTGGCGACACTTAAAAATCGCCAAGTCTGTCGCCAAGGTACCGACCGTAAGTACCGTTTTTTTTTTATTTGCTTGTTTGTAGCGCTTAAAATCTATAAAAGTTAAGAGATTTTTCAAATTCTTTTATATCTTTTGTTTGCTTACGTACAGTTAAAACTTTAAAAATATTTTACATTTAATAAAAAAATGCTTTTATTTAATTAAAAATGAAAAACTGTGTTTAATTAAAAATAACTAGTGTTGTTTTTATTTAAAAATAACTAATAATAATATTTGTAATAATAATTAGTATTTTTCTAATAATAAACTAATAATATTTTTAATTAAAAATAACTAATAAAAATAACTGATGATATTTTTAATTAAATAGAAACAATTTTTGTGGGGAAATTACGTAAACTATTATCGAAAAATTGTTGTTGTTTTTTTATTCATTTAAAGTTTTTTCCGTATTTTGGCTTACTGTGTCTTATTTATTTATATAACATTAGAGATTCGTCCATTTTGTTCGTTTCATTTCATTTCATTTTTTAACAAATGTACTTTTTTATACAAATATACAAAATATTTTTAATATTAAATATTTTATTAACTTTAAGAACTATGCTTGTATAATAGTTTATTTAATTAAAAAAAATCCTGATCAATACAAACTTTATAATCCAACACTTTTCTGCTTGGTTACTACGAAAATCGAATTAAATTATAGAAAACTTTATTTAACTGATGTGTATCTTTTTTTTTTATTAAATAATAGTATTTTTTCGTGTTTCTTTAGTTTTTTTTTATTAAGCAGAAATATATTTTCGTATCACTTAATAAATTTAATAATTTTAAATTTCTTTAAGTTTTATAAAATCACTAAAAATTTTTCAATAATTATATAATTCTATAATAATTATATAAAATTCTAAAAGATCATTTGGCGAAAAGCAAAGACGATTTTATTTCAAAAAAAAAAAAAAAGAAAAATCGTTTGGAGTTCTTTATTTTTATTTTTCGTATACATATATATTTTTTTTTATATTTCATATATTTTTTCGTATTTCTTTTCTTTTTAATACGCTTTTATTAGCTTCACCTGTATGTTTGTATGTATGTATGTATGTAACTGACTTTTTCCCCTGGAGATCTGTTTCTCCTCATATACACCATCTAAGCTGCAAAGAAACATTTACAGGCATCTTTCAGAAAGAAAACAGTTGATTCTTTTTAATACGCTTCTATATTAGTTTCACCTGTATGTTTGTTTGTAACTGACTCTTTGGGCTCGATTTTGCCCTACTTTAAGCGATGAAGATTTAATTTGAACGTTGTAGACTTATCAAGGACCAACAACACTAAAATAGTTTGATAAGTCTATTATCTCATCATGATTAGGATCGCCAGGATGAGTGATTTCATTTTAACTTATGAAGAGCAATTTAACCCATGTAGAATGAAAGTATTCGGTAAAGACATTCAAACCTACGTGGGACAGTGGCACAACGGACTATTCGCATTTAGCCTTTGTTTTACTCCCAATTAAATTATTGTAAGTACTATAGTTCCACTCCTCCGTACCGGGACCTCATTTAAATATTGTTTAAAAACACTAAAAAGCATGCTTTTAGAGTTAATCAAAGTAAAAAGTAAAAAATAAATGAATAGTTTAAATAAACTAAAAAAACCCGCTTTTAGAGTGAATCAAACTAAAAAGTAAAAAAATAAATGAATAGTTAAAAAAAATTAAACACGCTTTTAGAGAGAATCAAACTAAAAAGTAAAAAATAATTGTTAACATAAGAATAAAATGACTGACGAGAAAAGGAATGTCACTGTTCTAAAAGCGTGGGGTGCTTTGTATGACATTTTTAAACTAACTCTGCATTTCGGAATGACACTAGTGAAAAATTATAGCGATTGATATCGAGCACCCCACGCTTTTAGAACAGGGACATTCATTTTCTCGTCAGTCATTTTATTCTTATGTTAACAATTATTTTTTACTTTTTAGTTTGATTCACTCTAAAAGCGTGTTTTTTAGTTTTTTTAAACTATTCATTTATTTTTATTAAACAATAATATTTTTTCGTATATCTTAGATAATTTTCAAGTGTGGAATTTTTTTTTATCCAAAAAAAATTATAGGTATTGTTTTCGGGAGCGGAGTTTTTCGTTCCCTCGATCCATTTTGTGCCCTTGGTCCCTTTTACCATTTCTTATTGGTTAATTTTTTAAAACAATTTCTTTCACGAATTCATCTTATTAACTTATTTAAATTTCTTTCAATAATTACATAATTAAATAATGTAAAATTGTTCTTAAAGATCGTCTGGAGAAAGCAAAGAATTTAATTTCAAAGAAGAAAAAAAAAGAAGAATCGTTTTGAATGCTTTATTTATTTATTTTCCACCGAAGTCAAGCACCATTGGGCGCGGACAGTACTTGGGTGGGTGACCACCTGGGAACACCGCGTGCCGTTGGCATTCACACATTTGGGGCCTGAATGGTCGAGTGTTCTAGCGCTCTGGCGCTCGGTTCCACATGTTTCGGGTTCGTATCCCGGCGGTGCCATGGATGTTTGTAGTGGTTCGGAATCCACTTTAAGCCGTAGGTCCCGGTCTCCTATGACTGTAAGAGCGTCACGGAGTCAAAATCAGACTTCTACCTACGGGTGCTCCATCCCAACAGAAGCTGCTTCCTTCCCCTTCAATCATGAGTACGTATGGGCTCGTGGGCTTGGCCAGCCAAGTGGGATAAGAAACAACAACATTCTTTTTTTTTAAGATTGCTGTTATGGCGTTTAGTTCTTACATTAAATTCTAAATTTTATGGGTAATCTGTACATTGGTTTATCCGATTATTTTTAATTTTTAAATTCATTTATTATTATAATTATTTATTTTTGTTTCATTCATCTATTATTATTATTTATTTTATTTCATTCATTTATTAATCATTTTATTTCATTATTATTTCTTTTACGGTCTTTACTATATAATGCGTTTACAATGCGTATACAATACATTAGAGGCACAATTTAATTTTTAAACTACATCTGTGTAAAAACGGATATCATAAATTGTGTATTATTTATACAATCTTTTGCTTTAGAGCTTAAATTAAAATTACTATACTCATATACGGTCTGAAGCAATCACCCCCCTCCCACCCCTACAAATAAGACCGGAAGAAGCCTAAAGGTAGAAAATTATTATTCCATCAATAAGGCCAACCTGTATCGAGCATCATACAACGCAATGTGACGCACGTCCGTAGCCTATCTTCAAGCTATGCGTGCCCCCTGGGTAGTGCTAAATGAGTAACAGCGGTGCAGTTCTTGCTTATGCCACAAAAATTAACTGTCTCTGTATTGTCAACTGCATTAAAACAACAACTTTTTTTTTGTTCTAATGCAGCTGGCAAACACTTAGACAATTGTCTTGGATGTCTTAAGGCAAGCGCTGCACAGAAGTTACTCACTTAGCACTACCCAGGAGGTGAGTGTAGCTTGAAGATAAGCTACGGATGCTGAGTAACACTACCCCCGTAAAGCTCTACGATCCTGTTAGACCGGGGCCTACAGTTTAAAGTGGATTCCGAACCACTATGACCATCCATGGCACCGCCGGGACTCGAACCCGAAACCTGTGTTACCGAGCGCCAGAGTGCTAGCCATTGAGAGAACAACTTAAAACTACAACCTGTAAGCATAAAATTTAAAAATAAACAACAAGTCAATTGAAATTATCTAAATAAATTTTTTTTTATCTTTGTTTGGCGTGACGAGGATGCGGTAGACATTTTTTCTTTTTTGTTAATAAAGTTTCAAGGGCGTCGAATCAAATCCTTAAAAGAAGTCCCAAGTGAGCATCCAACTGCTTTAGTACAGGAACTAGGCAATAAAAATAAATCTTCGTAAACTGTCTCTCCTATTTCTACGGGCGCCGCGAACGAAAATTGAAAAACAACATTATTGTCAACATTATTTTTTATTTGTTAAATAAAAAAATATAAATTAATAAATAAAAATAATAAAAACATTAGTAAAAATTATCGCCAAACCAACTTTTAATTAAATAAATGTAGTTCAAGATTTTTTTTTATTAATAGAGTATAACAATATAGGAAATTGTAAAAACTCGCCAAATACTTTTTTATTTATAAGCAGGTCGTCATTAAAAAATGTCGCCGAATCAAATTTTAATTAAATAAAAGCAGTTTATTTTTTAATTAAATCTTCTTCTTCATTAGCGCAACGGCCCCGTAATGGGCAAAGGCAGTTTATGTAGTGCCAGATTTCGAGACAAGAGATGTTTTCTTTTTACGGTGTAGGAGTCTCAGCCCTACGCCCAACGCTCTACAGTCATATTAGACCTTGGGGCCTGAATGGCCGAGTGGTTAGCGTTCTGGCGCTCGGTACTACACTCGGTTCACGTCCCGGCGGTACCATGGATGTTTGTAGTGGTTCGGAATCCACTTTAAGCCGTAGATCCCGGTCTCATATGACTGTAAGAGCGTCACGGAGCCCAGTCAGACTTTTCACCCACATCATTTCCAAACTGCATAGGTGCAACTCAGCTCTTGGCACAGTGATATGGTGTAGTAGTCACATGAGAGCGGGACCTACGGTTTAGAGTGGATTCCGAACGACTACAAACATGCATGGCACCGCCGGGACGCGAACCCGAAACTTTTAATTAAAAATCAAAAACTATTTTTTTTATTTACATACAAGAAGCCATAAAAAAAATGTCGCTCAAATCATATTTTAATTCAATAAAAGTAGTTTTTTTTTCCTAATAAAATAAATTATATGTTTTAAATTTCTGAAAGCTATTTAATTAGTTTCACATCAAAATCACAAAAACGTAAAAAAGAGTAAGAAACGGAAATTTAAAAAGAGCAATGCATTTAAGCTCATAATACATAAGCTTTGAAAATATTATTTTATATATATTTTGGGAAGGAGGGGTCGCATTTATGTGTCGTGTGGAAGAAAACCTAGAAAACTTCCCCTATTTAGTTTAATTCACAATCCAAGATACTTAAAAACATTGTCACAATCGCCGTTAGAGTCTCCTCTTTTCTAAAAGTAGTGGCTGCAACGCACGTTACCATCGAATTCGTAGCAGCGCCTTTCTGCAGTCTAGTATTGAATGTAGGGCCTGAATGGCCGAGTGGCTAGCGCTCTGGCGCTCGGTACCACAGGTTTCGGGTTCGAGTCCCGGCGGTTCCATGGATGTTGGTAGTGGTTCGGAATCCACTTTAAACTGTAGGTCCCGGTCTAATAGGATCGTAGAGCGTTGCGGGGCCATTGTTAGTCCGCGTCCGTGGCTTATCAAGTTGCACACGCCCTCTGGGTAATGCAAAGTGAGTAACGTCTGTGCAGCGCTTGCCTTAAGGCATCCAAGACCAAGCTGCCTAAGTGTTTGCCAGCTGCATTAGAAAGAAAAAAAAAGTACTGAATGTTGCCAATGGGAAGTTAGTATGCTAAGCAAATACATATATTTCAGATAAAATTTCTGATGTATGAAGTATTATATTTAATTTCTACAATAGATAAATTGACTATTAATTTATACTTCGAGTTATGGAAGACAAAGTAGCTTATTAAATAAATGTGATTTGTTTTTTAAAAAATTATAACACATTCATCAACAATGAATATGGCTAATATCAATTTAGATGTGAACATCCATTTAAATCTGTAACCGTGTTTCCTCCTGAAAGAGTCCCCTGTGGCGTTCAGGAGAAATGATCAGTAGGCCACCACCCGAGAAATACAGTGTAATCGGCGCAGCCATTGAAAAACGTTTAGTACAGCGCAATTACCTGCTTCTGTTGAGAAACGTTTAGTTTGTAATTTCTCATGCTGAGGGGAAATATATTTAGCACAATCATGTGTATTAGTTGGCCTACAGACTCTCCACTGGAGAGATAGTATACTCCGCGCAAAACTAAGTATCGGGTTTTCAGCCTAGAAGTGGAATCCTTCCGCTAATCTATCAATATCTGTCTTTAAATGTGTTACATATTGTATGTCTCTAATTGTATATGTGTGATGCTTGCGCGTGTCAATAAAGATGCGAGTTTTCCAACCTGCACCCCAAGTAACCAAATTACGGCACAACGGACAACACTACAAACTCACATAGAATTACATTAATAAGTAAAAAAAAGATGTATATATACACTGAAGTGACAAAAGTCATGGGATAGCGATATGCAAATTTTCAGATGGCAGTAGCATCGCGTAGAACAGGTATAAAGGCGCAGTGCTTTCGAAGAGCTTTCATTTCTGTTCAAGTTATTCATGTGAAGAGGTTTTGACGTGATGATGACCGCACGACGGGAATTAACAGACTTTGAACGCGGAATGTTAGTTGGAGCTAGACGCATGGGTCATGCCATTTCGGAAATCGTTAGGGAATTCAACATTCCCAGATCCACTGTGGCAAGAGTGTGCCGAGAGTATGAAATTTCAGGCATAACATCCCACCGTGGACAGCGCAGTGGTCGACCGCCTGCACTTAACGACCGAGACCGGCGAAGTCTGCAAAGAGTCGTAAATTCTAACAGACAAGCAACACTGCGTCAAATAACCGCAGAAATCAATGTGGGACGTACAAGGGACTTGTCTGTTAGAACTGTGCGGAGAAATTTGGCTTTCTTGGGCTATTCCAGCAGAAGACCGACTTGAGTGCCTTTACTGACAGAACGACATCGCTTGCAGCGACTCTCGTGGGCACGTGAGCATATCGGTTGGTCCCTAGATGAATGGAAAACCGTGACCTGGTCCGATGAGTCACGATTTCAGTTGGTAAGAGCTGATGGTAGGGTTCGAGGGTGGCGCAGACCCCACGAAGCCATGGACCCAAACTGTCAGCAAGGCACTGTTCAAGCTGGTGGTAGCTCCGTAATGGTGTGGACTGTTTTTTCATGGCATGGACTTGGTCCTCTGGTGCGACTGGACCGAACATTGACTGGAAATGCTTATGTTCAGCTACTTGGAGATCACTTGCAGCCATTCATGGACTTCATGTACCCAAACAACGATGGGATTTTTATGGATGACAATGCGCCATGTCACCGGGCCACAACTGTTCGCGATTGGTTTGAAGAACATTCTGGACAATTCCAACGAATGATCTGGCCACCTAGATCGCCCTACATGAATCCCATCGAGCATTTATGGGACATCATCGAGAGGTCTGTTCGTGCCCAAAATCCTGCACCATCAACGCTTTCACAATTATGGACGTCTATCCAGACAGCATGGCTCAATATTCCTGCAGAAGACTTCCAACGACTTGTTGAGTCCATGCCACGTCGAGTTGCTGCACTTCGCCGGGCGAAAGGAGGGCCGACACGATATTAAGAGGTATCCCATGACTTTTGTCACTTCAGTGTATATGTAGATTTACGCCGATATCAAAAGATGCATTCCGGCCGAAACCCCAATTTCTGTAGGGTTATACC